TTCTTCAGCATTGCCATAAACTTGGCAAACTCAGTCTCCAATCGGTCTTTGTGCAACCGAGTAGGAAAGGGAAATTGAGGGACATACTCCTTCACCACTAGTTGTGGCTTAGGAGCATGCACCTCAATCTCCTTCTCCATTTCTTCTTCATTAGCTGGACATGCTAAAGCAGGTTCCTCTCTCTCCTGTCTGGCCTGGACAGGTGGGTCTGCAGTCACTCTGCCGCTTCGTGTAGCGGCAACATTGCAGTGTGCTAGCGATTGTGTTTATGTTGTGGTGATCAATGGTCAAATGATAATATTTTCAAACCTTCAATGCTATTACCCAAAAAAATTCAAATTTGAGGGTTCCAAAACACCTTGTTCCTTGCAACTCTCTCTCAATATGCTTTGATTTGATAGATGATTGATGTATTGTGCTCGCTAGGTGATAGCTGCATTATTAGAGTACCAGTGTGTGGATAATTTTACTATCTTTTTCTTCTTTTGTGAGTCGATAATATGTACTATTTTAGGAAGAACATGTGTGCGGGATTCTCTTTTGTGTCTAGCGAACTCAAAGCTTTTACAAGTTTGTGCGTATTAGAAAAAAAGTAAAGAGTGAAACTTCTTTTGAAAATGAGGCTCACGTGGGAGGCAACCTATCCTCGCGGATTCGGAGTTCCCTATGAGGATATGCTTGGGGATCGGATAGCTTTACCGCGTCCGGACCATATTTCACTACTTATCATCCCCAATTATCTTTCCTCCTCACGGAATCGTATGCCATGGTACAAAGTACCTTTTAGAGATTCATGAAACCTCAAAGCTCTCGTTTGTACCCAACATGTGTGGCAACCCAATGTGGAGTGCAGGCTGGGAAGTGGTGTTTGGGATAAGACTAATCCGTCAATCAACTTCCCCACATGTGACCTTGTGATTCGGGCTCAAATTTACACATTTTAACCCTCATTTCCTATTTGTTTAGCTTAGTATTTCATCTTTCCTTGACATATTCACGCTAATTTGTGCTTGTTTTGATACATTTCAAGTCCTAGCACGTGTGGAAGGGCCGAGGACGAGTTTTGGGATATTTGGAGATCAAAAAGTGCAAAAACAGAAGAAAAGTCCGAAGTCTTGTATGTTTCTTCTTCCCTCCTTTATGGAGTAGCACACTAAGGTACTAGGGGTTCTAAACCCCAAACCCTAGTTTTAGGGTTTATTATGTATGTATGTATGCATGTATGTATGTATGAATATTTTAGGGTTTGAATGAATGAATGTGTTTATCTAGTTGATTCTATTGCTATTCTATCCTTGATTGTGTTTGGGTTAGTCGCCCTAATCTTCTCTATTAGCCTACTTTATGCTTCTACGTTGGGTATGGAGTTCTAGGGTTAGACGGGTATGCACGATCAAGAAAATCGAGATAGATGTATGAACAGGGACCTATGGTTTTCGAGGAGACCGAACCCTTGTTGTAGGTTTGCCATCCTAGATAGAACCTGAGATGAAACCTCGGTGTGGACGGTGGGTAATGTCCATTGGATTGAGACATGAGCTTAATGACCCAGATACGATAACCTAGATCAAGGTGAATATATATATGGGCTTAGGGGAGGCGTACTCGGAGGCGTGTGGATAACCACGAAACCCACGGAAAAGAGCTCACTCACCACATTCGATAACCCCAAGTATTTATGAATGCATAGTAACCCTAAACTAGGGGGAGGATTAGTTTCCCGAAGTACCTGCTTTTAGCTTTGATCAATCTCTAGTCTAGTTATCTCCTCAAGTCCTCCACTCGAACTTACAAAATTGATTAACTAATCAGCAACTAGGTGGGAAGTAGGCTAGGGTACCAGGGCCCGAGTAAAATGCGACCATGATTACCACTGTACGACAATTAGGGCTGCAAATGAGCCGAGCTGAGCCGAGTTTTACCCCAGCTTGAGCTTGACTCGTTAAAAAATGAGCTGAGCTCGAGCCTGAGCCATTTATTAATGAGCCGAGTTGAGTCGAGTTCGAGCTAGGCTTGTTTACTAAATTCTTAGATCGTATTTGATACATTCATTTTGTATGTCGTGTATGATACATGTGATTGATGTAACGATAAAAAATAATCAAATGTTCAACATTTATTAATCTTATATTATAATTTGTATGTGTCATATTGTTTAGTTAATAAATTTTAACTAGTTCAAATCATGTTATTTCATAGTATCGAAACAATTTTGTACATAATTTCTTTATAGAATTAAAAATAAGGCATATTTTCTTACATGTTCAACATGTTAAACTTCACATGATGTGAGATATATAATTTAACAATCCTAAATTAGATCGATTAGTCCATAAGTCAGTGATCAATTTAGCCCTCAAACCACAATGTGGAGACATCTCATGATCTATAAATGAGTCAACTCACGATTTGAGCTCAACAAGCCACCGAGTCGAGCTAGCTCGCGAGCTTTGCCATCTGAACAAAGCTAATCTCAAGCTTGGCTCGTCAATAAACAAATCGAGTTTCGAACGAGTTTTTCTCGGTTCGAGTCTTGAGTTGCTCGCGAGTAGCTTGGCTCATTTGCAGCCCTAACGACAATGCCATATGAGTTTAAACTTAGCTTAGGTTGGGGTAGTTGTTGACACGTGCTAACCATTGACAATAATCTTCACGGATTGAAGTGATCGGTGCTCTAGCTAAATAAGCAAATGGAAAGCAGTTCCATATACAAGCCAATATGGTAAAGTACCAATCGAAGTCTTGTAGGTTGTCCTATATGCCCATGGAGCATCATCAAGCTTAACCATTCGTCTGAGGGTGGTAAGCCACCGACACATTATGCTTAACATCATATCGAGAGAGGAGTTTAGCAAATTGCCATTGAAAATGGCTTTCTCTATCGCTAATGATGGCTCGAGGTGTCCCAATTGGAGAAAGAGGTGCTTCAGAAATGAGCAGACACATCATGCATCATTTGTGTGCATGGCTTGAGCTTCTGCCCAGCTCGAGACGTAGTCCACCGTAACCAAGATGTAAAGATTACCAAAGAATGGAGGGGATGGGCCCATGAAATCGATGACCCAAACATCAAAAATTTCACAAACAATAGAAATCTGTTGGGGTATCTCATCTCGGGAAGAAATGTTACATGGCCTCTGGCACCTTCTACGAGGGCCAGTAGAAGCCTGACTGTAGCACCTTCTGCACCGTGCGGTTCCCGCCATGATGACCACTCATGGGTCCCTTGTAGCATTGAGATAGGATGCCTCCCATATCGTTCTCCATGATGCACCTCTATATCATGCCATCTGCTCCGATCTAGAAGAGGCACAGATCCTCTCAGAAGTAATGCTTCAGGTCAGATAAGAACTTGCGCTTAGCATGAGTGGCCATCCCCTTACGTACCTGTTTGCCCACTAGATAGTTGGCAAAATAAGAGTACCAAGAGGTGACACTCTCCACCAAGCACCACGCCAGCATTCGCTCATCCGCAAAGGAATCGTTGATCTCTTCCACAAAGTTGTCCACCGGAGGGGCTTCCAACCTTGAAAGATGATCTGCAGCAACATTTTTGCCTCCTTTCTTGTCCCGGATCACAATGTCAAATTCCTGCCGCAGCAGGATCCAGCAGATGAGCCGAGGCTTGGCATATGCCTTGGTCGTCAAGTACCGGATAGCAATAGTAGTATGTGTAGACCACAACATGAGACAACACCAGATACAGTCAAAACTTGTCAATAGAACACACCACGGCGAGCAACTCTTTCTCGGTGGTGGTGTAGTTCTCCTGGTCATCGTTTAGGGTCTTCAATGCGTAGTAGATAGGATGGAAATGCTTGTCGCGTCTCTGACCCATAACAGCTCTGACTGCGTACTCACTCGCATCACACATCAACTCGAAAGGGAGAGACCAATCAGGAGTCACCATGATGGGTGCATGGGTAAGCTTCCCCTTAAAAGTCTGAACTTTGGAGTAAAATGGAAAGGTGCATCTTTCTCTAGATACTTGGTCAGGGCAAGACGATCTTCGAGAAATCTTTAATAAATCTCCTGTAAAAGTATGCATGACCCAAAAGGTTGCGGATCTCCTTCATAGAAATGGGAGGAGGCAGCTTGCTGATTGTCTCAATCTTCGCATGATCTACCTCAATCCCCTGCTCGGAGATCTTGTGCTCAAGCACAATCCCTTCACAAACCATGAAATGACAGTTCTCCCAGCTAAGTGCAAAGTTCGTCTCCTTGCACCTCTTCAGAACAAGTTCCAGGTTTTGGAGACAATGAGTGAAGGAGTCTCCAAAAACCAAGAAGTCGTCCATGAAGACTTCCATGATCTCTCCAACCAGTCGGTCGAAGTGTTATACTCCGTTCTTTCTAAAATTTAAAATGACTATTATACCCTTGGGTTAATTCTTCAAGTCTACCTTAATATCGACGAAGACTAAAAACGTGACCTAACGACTCGAACAGTGTGGAATTTCAATATAAGAAAACGAAGTTATGAACATAGATTGGGTTTGAGTTTGAACCAAGACCCAATCAAGGGTTTGGGCCGAGTAGGTCTGGCTCTAGTTATATGAAGGGCCAAGTGGTGAAATAATGAGTGTAGTGGGCTTACCACAAGCAAGAAAGAGAGCTTGGGGCAGACAGCTTGTTGGTAAAGGAAGGAGTGGGCTCCTGGGTTGCTGGTGGAAGAGAGAAATGGGCTCCAGCCCGAGATGGAGGAAGAAGGAAAGAATGAAGGGAAGGGAGATATGCGGGATGGCAGCCCTTGTTGAGAGAGAAGGGAAGTTGGGCCAGTGGCTCAGAAAGAAGAGCAGGGCAGCGCAGGCTGGAGCCCAGGTGAGGAGGGAAGAGGAATCGTCTTTCCTCTAGAGCATTGATCGGCGAAGCCGGAACAGAGTAGTGGTGGAACACGAAACACAACCTGGAAATCGCCAGGGAAATGGGATGAACGAAATAATTAATTTGGATTAAGGGGTGTTTATAGAAATCAAATGGAGTGGTTTCCTTCTCAACAAAACTTAGGAAAGACAGAGGAGGAGAGGTGAACAGAGCAAGCTGGACAAATCGAAGAAGAAGAGAGGAAGTCAGGGCCGGTTCGACGATCTAATGGCGGGGTTGAAATGGAGGGATCGACTCGAATAAAAAGGAGAGGAAGGAGGACCGAAAGCAAAGGGATGGCTCGTGAGCGCCAGCGGGAGCTCAAGAGCTCGACGGAGATGACTAGTGCAGTAGTCGGCGTCGACCTGAACAACGATAGGGTGGAAGACGATCTGGCGATGGTGAACCCGCATAACTATCCTCCCAAACGACTGGGGATCTGGTCTGTTCGGAGTTGGCCACCAAATTGTGGCAAGAGAGGATCCGTCAGAGCTTCAATGGTTGCGATCGCAGGAGCGCAGCTGTCCGAGGAAGAAGAAGAGCTAGTGCAACTTCAACGGCGGCGTTGAAGAGATGAGGCCCCTTTCCTGTTTTGTTGGAGTGTGAGGGCGTCAATTGGAAATTTGTTGAATAGTTGAGGGTTTTATGGTCTTTTTTCAAGTAGGATCAGTTTGGTAAATTTTAGTAAGTCTGGCACTGAGAAGTTATTTTCCATGTGAAGGGTTAGTTCGTAAATGGCAAGTGTTTGGGTATCAAAATGGGGATGTGCGATTTTGGAACTGTTTTGTCAAATTCATAAAGTTAAATCTCCTTGCAGGACAAAATTGTTTAAATCTGAAAGTTGGGGCAGAATTGGTGAAACTCAGTAGGTACGGGTACCATTCTATATTTTGCCATTTTGAGGCAAAAAGATAATTTTCCAGAATTTTGTGGGGAAGCCTAAGAAAGGTTAAATGGAGGAATTTGAGATTGGAATCAACCAAATTGGAGGTCGTTTGGCCAGTTATGCTTAGAGAGAAGTGAATTAAGTTTTCGTTTAAATTTTAATAGGAAGAACAAAAGGAGGTAAAGCACGAGGAGTTTGGTCGTGGAATCTCGGGCAGTGACCTGGATTCACTGGAAGTCAAGAGGGGTCGTATTGATCGATCAAAGGCGGTTAGTGAGCTGAGTGTAAAGGGGGTAAAATCTTCGTCGAGGTCTTTTAGTTTATGCTTTTATTTTTAGTAATGTTAGCTAATTTATGAGTCTGCGTGATTATGAGTGTGACGCATCCCATTGTCTACTTAAGGTGGAGGCACACGTTGTGCTATGTATGTGAATGTATGTGTTTGTGATGTATGGTTGATGCTAACTGAACCCCCGGGTGGTTGGGCCACTACTGGACGCGGTAGATGGCCGGGTCACTACTGGACAGCGATACATAACGCAGTAGTTGACCGGGCATGGACTGGACGGCGAGACGTAACGCACTACCATTGCCTTGAGGATAGGGACACCGGACGATGATACGTAACGCGGTGGCCCCTAGGTTTATGTGTATAAGTAAGGATAGAAGTAAATAACTTCTATAAGTACTAAAGGATAAAATAATAAGGATAGAAGTAAATAACTTCTATGAGATAAGTATAAGGGTAAATATCTTTTATAAGTTAAAGTTGGATTAAGGTTTTGCAGATGAAAGCAAGAACGACTTTCGTCTAAGGCATGAAACGCTAATAACGTGTTTTAGTAAGGAGTTTTCTTAGGGTAAAGACCTTAGGAAGTAATGACGAGACTCACCCCTTCTCACTCACCAGGTTGAGGAAGGGTATGTTGTGGCAAATTCCGAGAAGAGACAGAGCGAGGTGAGTAGCCTCACCAGCATTTGACAGGGTTCCCGGAAGCTCAGCGAGGAGATAGAGTTAGAGTTCATTTCATTATTTTGTTCATGATTATGAGTAAAAACTTCGAGATTCGAGTTTTTGAGTTTGAATGGTCTTGTTGACCACGGATTGAGGTCGCCCAACTTTTTAGGGCATTTCATTTCAAATTCTTTTGGAGTTTTGAACATTAATTTTGGTCGGCTCCGGAGCCATAAGTATTTTGGTTTGTTTAGAAGGTCGAGTTTTTTCACGAAGATTGCCATCATACACAGTTGGAAGGTCGTTGATGCATTGCAGAGCCCAAATGGAATCAGCCGGAAAGCAAAGGTGTCGAAGGTGCACGTGAAAGTGGTATTCACTTGGTCCTCTAGTGAAATTGGGATATGAAAGTATACGAAAATGCCATCCAGGAAGCGGTAGAACTCGTGTCCTTCCAGCCTCTCTAGCATCTGGTCAATTAAATGGAGCGGAAAATGGTCCTTCCTGGTGGCATCTTTCAGACGCCGGTAATCGACGCAGACATGCAACCTAGTCAGTTTTCTCTTCGGGATCAGCTCGTTCTTCTCGTTCGGGACCACAGTCATCCCTCCTTTATTCGGGACCACCTGAGTGGGGCTGACCCACTTGCTATCAGATATAGCAAAGATGATTCCGGCAGCCATCAGCTTCACAATCTCTGCCCGGACCACTGCCTCCAAGTTAGAATTCAATCTCTGCTGCAGCTGCGTAACTGGCTTAACCTCATCCTCCATCAGAATTTTGTAGGAGCAGAAGGATGGGCTAATGCCTTTAATATCAGTAATCTTCCACATAATGGCCCGGGCGTACTTCTTCAATAGAGCCACCAGACTGCTCTTTTGCTCGAGGGTCAGTTCCAAGCTGATAATCACCAGGATCTTATTCCCCTCCCAGAGAAATGCATACTCCAGGTGAGAGGGGAGGGGATTAAGTTCCAGCTCTGGTGGCTCCTCCAAGGATGTGGCAATCCGGGGCGAGATAGAGATTGGCTTGAACGGCTGCTCTCGCCCATCGATTGCGGGGCCCTGAAGCTCCAGGAGGTGCTCCTCCAGTTGTAGCTCCTATGATGCAACTTCCCATAGCAAAAGGAAACGCTCGAGGAAATCATTAGTACCCGCACTCGTGCTGGCAAGTGTGATCTCAAAATCGGCAACCACATCACAGTAATCTAAATAATCATGGAGCTGGGGGTGTGTCAGGTTATGAGAAATAGATAAGGTGATTTGTTCACCCCCAGCCCTCAAAATCAGTTTACCATCATTAACATCAATAAGCGCCTTGGCGGTGGCGAGAAAAGGTCTACCTAGAATTAAAGGCACATCCACATCCTCATTAATATCAAGAATAACAAAATCAACAGGATATGAGAATGGCGCTATTTCGACTATCGTGTCCTCTGCAATATCCCTAGGACGCATGATAGATCTATCTGCTAACTGTATGCTCATCCTAGTGTTACTAGGTTCACCTAGGCCTAGCTTCTTAAAAAAAATTATATGGCATGACATTAATACTAGCTCCTAAATCCGCCAAGACCTTTCCTACACGAAAGCTACCTATCATACAAGGGATAGTAAAACTCCCTGGGTCTTTTCGCTTCTATAGTAGCTTGATCTGCAGGATGGAAGAACACTCCTTGTTGAGCATCACTGTTGATAGATCCCTTAGCTTCCTCTTGTTGGTGAGGAGATCCTTCATGAACTTAGCATACTTGGCCATATACGACAGTGCCTCAACGAAAGGCATACTTATGTTCACCTGCTTCAGCATTTTCATGAATTTGGCAAACTCAGTCTCCAGTTGGTTTTTGTGTAACCGAGTAGGGAAAGGAAGATGAAGAACATACGCCTTCATCAATGGTTGTGGCTTAGGAGCAGTCACCTCAATCTCCTTTTCCCTTTCTTCCTCGACTGTTGGAAGTGCTGAAGCATGTATCTTCTCCTCCTGTCTGGGTTGGACGGGTATGTTAGTAGTCACCTTCTTGCTCCTGTTAGTGATGGCACTAAAGTTAGCATCCAGATGTGCAGGATTGGGGAGCGTATGACCAGGTAGAGTACCCAGAGCCCTCTGTGCCACAACATTAGCCACACTACCAAGTTGGGTATGGATATCCTGCAAAACAACCTATGTGTTCCTCTTACCAGCTTCAAGCGCCAGTAATTTAATTGAGACCTTATCCATGAACTGATCGATATTGTTGAATTTGTGAGCACTATAACTGGCAAAAGAACCCACCAAATCCCGCAGTTCAGCCATCGGATCATGTTGTACTAGCGGGTCAAGAATTTGTTGGCCAGCTCGGTGAATGTACTGATTCACCCCGGAGGCCGGTTGTCCAGCCACAAGTTGGCATGTCCCTCCAGAGTAAATGTAAAGTTAGTGCAACTGGATGGCATCTTGATGGACCCCATTAATCTTGATTTCATTGATCAGCTCATGGAATCGCCGCAGGTGCGCGCGGGGACACTCGCCTGACTTCCCGTGGAACACCACTGAACCTCGCAGCATGGTGATAACCGAGGTGCTTAACTCAAATTTTTTGGCATCAACTTGAGGGTGTTGGATGCTAGACTTCATGTTTGTTGCTCTGGCGGTTCAGTAGTAGCCCATGGTATGCTCATCGGGGACAAACGCCTCGGCAACATTGGGGTCACCCATTTCTTCTTCACTTTCAGATCTGTCAGAAACAACGAGCTTATCCAAGTCCTCCTATGTAGCCAGTCTCGGTTTGAGCACTCTGAGTTGGCGACAAGTGCGATCGATTTCTAGGCTAACGGATGTAGATCTCCTGACTGGCTACGGGTCATTCACTATCTGCACATAGACTGTAGACACAACCCGTGAAGGCAAACAAGGGAACAAAAACAAATGCAGAAAAGTAAACGCTAAAGTAACTGCCGTTCACATTTCTACAATAACCTAGAGTCCCCGGCAACGGCGCTAAAACCTTGACTCGCTAAAACACAACACCAAACTACGACCAAGTGCAATTGTAGTCTAGAAATGCAGTATAGTGGGACAAGTAATAAATGTCAAACCGAGGACTACATGTATTGCCTACTCCGTGAAATTCTATTATCTAGCAGGAAAAGTTGAGTGAGAATGAGTTTAAACTAGAGCAGAAAGAAAGCAGCACATTGTTTGGTTTCCAAAGCAGGAGAAGACTCACTCGGAAATGAGTCCCCCTAGCTCTTTAATTCGGTGCAAGTTGTAATTTCTTTTGGTTGTTTTACTGTTGATTAGACTGTGGAAGATCCAAAAATAGGTTGGAGTCTCTTAAGCTGTCCAAGCCTTCTTAGACAGAATACCCGGCAGACGGCTAGCCTTCACTGGGATAAACTGCTAATGTTATTCGCACAGATTTCCACTACTTGTAATGAATTCCAGTACAAAGCAGTTTGACTGACTCTCGTACAAACAATTCACTACTATTAATTGAAGAAGCTCTATCAACCTAATCGGATTCTATCTATCATAGGTGAAAGCAGAAGTCAAGAGAACTTGATCAGGATTCAAATGACTCAATAAACATGCCTCAATTGATTAAAATCATCCAGCATAACATCCAAAATTCATTACAAACAAGTTCCCTAACACATGGAACTAGGGTTCTTCATACCCAAGTGAGAGAGGGGTTTACTCCATAGAGAGAGAGAGAGATGTGTATAATCTACTATGGGATGTGAATCTTCACTCTTGAAGACACAATCTGAGCCTCAATGGTGAGAAATTCACTTCAAATAGCTCCTTGGGTTTGTGCTTCGTCACTTTCTCTCTCTAGAAACTATTTTCTTGCTCCAAAAAGTCGAATCCCCCCTCCTTTGACTTGAATCTGCCTATTTACCCCAATATTCGGCTAAATACGGGCAAGAGCACGTTCGTGCTTCCTCTAACAGTGCTTTGACCAAAGCACGCGTTTTACTTAAGTTGGGACGGGGAATTCCACGGTTGCTTTTTGGTAAAACACCGACAGTATTTAGTAAATTATGATCGTGCTTTAGTCTTTGCATGCCTGTAATTGGCTTTCCTTCATCATTCTTCAAGGGCCAGCCTCGTCTTTAAAAATACGAGCGAGTTGTTG